TCTGATTCACAAATGGTCACTGTTAGTCACCACCCTACACTGTTGGGGCATCAGGCTAACAGATGGAGAGGAACATGGGCCCTGTGTGAACAGAATGATGCACCTCAAAGATGTCCGTGTCCTAATCACTGAAACTTATGGATTGAGTGTGCTGCCTTACATGACAAAGGAGAATTCAGGCTGCAGATGGAATTAAGCTTGCTAAGCAGCTGACCTAGAGATGGAGGTTATACTCGGTTACCCAGGTGGGCCCACCATGATCTCCATGGTTCTCATAGGCAGGAGGCAGAAGAGAGGCAGGGTCACAGGGGGTCAGGGGGATGAAACTGTGGGGAACAGCACTGAGAGAGAGGTGCAGTGCTGGCGTTGAAGGTGGAGAAAGAGGGCTCTGGAAGCTGCAAAAGGCAAGTAAATGAGTTCCCCTTGAGCTTCCAGAAATCAGGCTGCCCTGAAGACACATTGATTTGGACCCAGGGAGACCCATGTCTGACTTCTGACCTACAGAACTGTTAAGATAATACATTTGTGTTGCCCTGGCTGCTAAATTCAGCTAATTTGTCACAGAGCTGCTACAGTCTCTGACCCTGGCCCCCAGGAGTTCCCAGCACTACAGGAAAGACAGACAAGTGTGGCTGCCCCAGAGGACCTCACAGTGCTCAGGACCATTACACAGCCTGGTGGGATGAGAAGGGCTCAGGGAAAGTCCTGACAGCCAACCACTTCGATGTGAAAACATTGGAAACTCAGAGACAAACCTAATGGTTACATATTTATTTCTCTCACTCTCTGAACTGCCAAGCCCCCTCTCATTCTTGCAACCTCTTTCAGGGAAACTTGCCAGGTCGCCCAGCAGTGGGCACTCTCTCCTTCTAGTCTCCAGCTGCAGGAGATGATCACGGTGGCTGCCAGGCTTGAGCCAGTATCAGAATATCCCGCAGGGCAGTGAACACAGAGCTGCCCTCCCACCCCCCAACCAGAGCTTCTGAGTCAGCAAGTCCAGGTGGGGCCTGAGAATTTGCACTTCTAACACATTCCCTGGTGGTGCAGCTGTTGCCGGTCACACTTTGGAAACAGCAGATCCATTACCAGTGCTCTGTTTGTGACTCTAACCCCTTTCTGCTTTGCACTGTTGTCATTGGGATAGGGTTAGTTTTCCCTAATTAACATTCACAGACGATGTTTATTGAGCAGGCACCAGGGGTAAGGTGCTATACTGGGCTTTTCATACGCAAGATGATCTCATTAAATCTGCACAACAATAACAACATGTACTATCCCTACGTCCACTTTACAGAGAAGGAAACTGAGGCTCGGGGGCTGTATCAGTCCATTTTCATATTGCTATGAAGAAATACCCGAGACTGGGTAATTTGTAAAGAAAAAGAGGTTTAATGGACCCACAGTTCCACATGACTGGGGAGGTCTCACAATCACGGCAGAAGGCAAAGGAGGGGCAAAGGCATGTCTTCCATGGCTGCAGGCAAGAGAGAGCATGTGCAGGGGAACTCCCGTTTATAAGACTATCAGATCTCATGAGACTTATCCACTATCATGAGAACAGCATGAGAAAAACCCATCCTCATGACTTTATTACCTCCCACCTGGTGCCTCTGATGATACATGGTGATTATGCAAGCTACAATTCAAGATGAGATTTGGGTGGGGACACAGTCAAACCGTATCTGAGCTGCGAAATGACCAACTCAGATTCAAGGTCAGAGAGTCTTCTTCCAGGGCCTGTTCCCATATCCGCTGCTCTGTCTGGGGAATAGGTCCCTTGGGTCCCTCCCCGTGTCCACAGCCCCTCCTGTAGCTCTGTGCAGACAGTAGAGGTCCAATAAAACTGTACTGAAAAGAAACAATGAATCTGATGTGAGGCTTCAGTGTGTTTCCTTATTTTGTTTCAAGGGAATATTCCTAGAATATAGGATGGAGCTACATTAGAGGAAACATAATCAGGAAAACACAGACCAAGTCCAAATAATTTGGGGCCACCGATGCCATGGAACTCAGGCCCCTCTCACCCTCCACTTACTTAGCAGTTTTGAGTTTGACTTCTTGTCCTTCCTCCAGGGACCGGAAAACTCCATCCCACAAACTGAGAGAAATGTTAGAAACAGGCAACCTACTATGTGACCTTCCTTGCTAAAACCAAGTGGGACCCAGCCCCGCTCCCTTCCCTGTTGCCCAGTTCAGGACACAAAGGACACGTGTGCTCAGAAACCAGCATCGCAGAGTGAGCCAGGGCAGGGCTGTCTGTCTCTAGTTTGAATGCTTCGGGGACATGCTTGTGATGGCCCTTGGCTCCTTCTTCCAAGCTCCCAGGTTCCTGCCAGCAGAAACTAAATCTTCCAGAACTAACCTGCTACATTTTTGCATTGAGACAGTCTCCCCAAGAGCAGGTCTCTTCAGGTACACCATGAAAGTCATTGTGTTCATCATCTAACTGACTGTAATTAATTGAGGATAAGAGGAAAAAAAAAAAAAAAAAAAAACAGGCCCAGAAGAAGAAGAAACACGAGGGAAATGAAGATGGATTGTTAAATTGAGCACTGTGAGGAGGCAGTGAAAGCCTCATATTTCCCTGTTCTAATAACCTTGGTTAATATGCAATGATCAATCATGCCATCACGGTCATTTTTAGTTCACCAGCTTATCAATATGAGGTGGTTTCACATCAATGATTCTGATGTGTTCCCAATACAGACTAGAAAGGCGACAGGCGGCTACTCATCTCTGAATGCCTGTGACCACAATGCCAGATCGATGCATGTCAAAATACCCTTATTCTTCTGGAAACCAATCTGATGACAGTAATTAAGCCGTGAGAGTTGGTTGGGCTGAACCCAGGACTATTCTGCCACACACAAATACTTCATTGATCAAACATTTTATTTTTAATATTCATGGATTAGCTACACTCTCAAAATGCCCCATTACTATGTGCATGTGAAATCAGCCTTTTACCAAGATCTACACATTTGCTTCTCTGGATCAACCACTAGATTAGGAAGGAGCATTTTGGTGCAGACAAGATTGCTAGTGGGAGGCAAAGGCCAGCACGTGTCATGCACAGACCTTGCCTTTCCTCACCCTGAGCAAACCCCACTGGAGAAGTTGGGCCCTGGTTGACACCCAGACACTGTGTCCCCTGTGAGATGAAGTCACTCTGTGCTGACCCTGACTCCAACCCATGGCTGAAAAAGGCTTCAGGGATTCCTTGGGGCAGTGCCACCATGTTTCACCCATGCGCGACTGCCACACTTGGCATTCAGGCTGCTGGCTGCAGACTACTTTTTTTTTTTTTTTGAGACGGAGTCTCACTCCATTGCCCAGGCTGGAGTGCAGTGGCACCATGTCGGCTCATTGCAACCTCCATCTCCTGGGTTCAAGCAATTCATCTGCCTCAGTCTCACAAGTAGCTGGGATTACAGGCACCCACCGCCATGCCTGGCTAATTTTTGTATTTTTTAGTAGAGATGGGGTCTCACCATGTTGGCCAGGCTGGTCTCGAACTTCTGACCTCAGGTGATCTGCCTGCCTTGGCCTCTCAAAGTGCTGGGATTACAGGCGTGAACCACCATCCCCCCGCAGCTGGCTGTAGACTATTTAACTAGAGATTAGTAATTAGGGGGAGGAAGTATTCTGGGGTTTTGTCTCCCTTTACCTCCAATCTTCTTGTAGGAATAGTTTTCCTTGGAGAGCTACCATCTCCCGCTCAGCCCATGTGCTTCTTATGGAGCTAATGCCAGGGTATTATTCCAGGAATGAGCAGGTGAGTGGGGACAGGTGATCAGAGCATCCGGCTCCAGATGTTGTAACTGGACAGCAGTGATCATGTGACCACATCTGAGCCAACGAGGCATGATTAGAGTTTTGCTTGCATAGCGGAAAGAGAGTCACATGTGTTGGTACTTTGTTTTCTTAATTGGGGTTTACCTGGGGCATGTGAGCCTGGTCCAGGTCACCAGGTAGGCCTGAGAATGAAGTCCACTTGTGCAGAGGTAGAAAGCATGGGTATATCTTTTGAGCCCAGAGATCAAGCCGTAACTGAGATGCCCAGGTTTGTCCTTGGAACTCCCCAATGACAGCCCACAGTCCCCACCTGCACACTTTTTAAAAACTTCAGCCAGCTGGTGTTAGGTGATCTTTTCACTGGTGGCTAAATAATTCCTGGCCCAGCCAGCCTACCAAGCTCTGAGCTGAGCAGGGAAGACTTAGGACGCTGTCCATGGTCACCTCGGGGCAGGATTTTCCTGTGTGATGATGGAGAGTTGGCCATGATATTTCAGGGAAGGCCTGGGGGTCCGAGATGCAGTGGAGACTATTGTCAGGGCCCGGCTCAGCACAATCCTGCGATTGCCCCATGAGGCCTTGAGGGCGCAGGATCCTGGGAGTCCTGTGAAGAGACTGCAGCCTCATGGGCTGCGGGTCAGGTGGGATCCAGGGAAACGTATTGTTGTCTCCCTGGGCTGTAGGATTATTGGTCTGGAATGAACCTTTTGACAAAATATGACCATTCTTCCCCAGGAATCCCGCTGTCCGTTAGGCACACTGTGTTTCTGCCATTTTCTAAGACATTCGTGTTATTAGGTGTGCGGGCAGAATAATGGCTCCCAAAGATGCCCACATCCTGATCCCTGGAGCCTGTGAATGTGCCACCTTCCCTGGCAAAAGGGGCTGTGCATAGCGGGGTTGAGGATCTTGAAATGTGGAGACTGTGCTGGGTTGCTTGGTTGGGCCTACTGTAATCACAGGAGTCTTTACGGTGATTCTGTTGGAGATACTCAACTCGCTCTTACTGGCTTTGAGGATGGAAGAAGGGGTCCTGGAATGCAGCAGCCTCTAGGCAGGAGCGCAGGACGATGGACCCTCCCCTAGAGCCCCATGAAGGAGCCAGCCCTGCGGAAGGCCTGACTCGAGTCCAGGGAGACCCATGTGGGAGTCCTGACCTCAGAGCTGTTAGAGAATTAGTTGTGCTGTGTGTGGTCATTTGTTACAGCCGCTGCAGGCTGCTCGGACATCAGGAGCCAGCAGGCATTAGGGTGTGGGGTCTGGGGCAGCCATGAAGCCTCTGCTCCTGGCTCTGCTGCACGAGGACTTTTCCACTCCTTGTGGGTAAAACTGGATCCTGACAGTGCACGCCAGACAGCGTTTCCGCCTCTGAGGCCAGTGGTGCAGGCTGTCCATTCGGTAAGGGTCTCAGGGAGGGAGGCCATGTGTCCTTGGAAGGGGGTGACCAGAAGCCCCCTCTAAAGGGATAGGGATAGGGCAGGAGTGAGCCTCAGGGCATGTGAGGGGAACAAACCCGGGTCGCAGGACCTGGGCCTCAGAAGAGCGTTCATGCCTCCGGGTGCCTGGGTGCCGGATGTCCAGGAACAGCACAGATGTGAGTGGCAGGAGAACTGGGGGCAAACGGGTGACCCACCCTGCACACACCTGAGCAGACTCCAGGAGACTGGGGTGGCCTGTGCAGCACATGTGGGAGCTGCAGGAGACCTTGAGGGGTTCTGAGGGGCCCGCCCTGCAGTGGGCAGCATGAAACCTGAAGAAACCAGACCTGAAGGGTCTTCCCAGGGTTGGACTTTGCGTCAGATCATGGAGACTTTGGCGCGCTCGCGGCTCAGGGTTTGGGTGCAGGGAGCTCCTACCATGCCCATTCCATGTGCTGAGCTGTGGTGCATGGTCTCTCTTCCAGGCAGAAGGGCCACCTGAACCACAGCCCCTCTCACTTCCTCGTGACTCACTGCCACCTCCCTGTGCTCTGGACACACGACCAGGCTCTAGTCAATCCTATTGAAAGTGACAAAGAACCATTGCCGATAGCTGTCTCCCCAGCAGCGCTGGGCTGAGTCTTGCAGCCTGGCCTGTGAAATAACCAGACAGTGAGTCTGAGGCCATGGCTGCTCAGGGCAGTGTCTTTGCCTTTGGGTCTCAGCTGCCAGGGTGGCTCTGCCGCCTCCCGCTCCCTGCTCCTCCCCACCCCCAGCCCTCAGCCCCCAGAATCCTGCTCCTCCCCACCCCCCAGCCCCCAGCATCCTTCATCCTATCAACCCGTTGGTGCATGTTGGAGTCCCGTGTGAGCACGTCTGCTTTCCCAAAACTGGAATGCCCTGTGGCTCGGGGCCTGACTGGAATGCACTGTGGCTCGGGGCCTGCCCTCCCGGGAGATTTCAAATTGCATTCTTGTGTTTGGATATTAGAAATGTGTACTCTTTATGCATCTTATTTGCTGAGAACTGTCTTGTTACCTGACTGAGATTGATTTCTAAAGTCTCAGTTAAAAAAATTAGGAAGATTATTTCTCGGGGAAATATTACAAATTATAATGGGAGAGCATTTTATTTCAAAGCAATGCTTCTTTCCCTTTCGATTTACCTTTAACATACACCCCCGCAACACACCCAGAATCCTTTCTGACAATTCTCTCATCAATTACGTTTCCTACAGCAATGCACACTGAGACTGTGCTGGCTCGTGCCATCAATCACGCAATCACGCAGGGCATCTGCTGGGCGGCGATGGCTGCAGATGGACACCATCTCCTTCCACTCACCTGGAAGCATGGCGTGCATAGGGAATTCAGAGCCCCCTCTGCTGTCCCGGCCACGGTCAGCCTGGTGGGATGAGAAGAACCGTGGTCGGAGCCAGGCCTCTTGGGCCAGCCTCCTGGCACTGCCACCTCTGGGTGTGTGAGGTAGGGCAGGGGCTGAATCTCTCTTGCTTGGTTCCCTGTGTAACAAGCTGCCCAGGGTGTTACGGGTTCCCAAAGGCATGCATGATTCCGGGAAGGCCTGTCAGGAAAGTATTTAGTGATTGGCGCAAAGGCCCTGCTGCTTCTCAGCAGGAGAATCTCCTTGGAATTGCCCGGGTGTGTGTGTAATTATGAAGAGTACTGCTCGACTCACAAAAGACAGCCAGTTTGGACAAAGCTAGCGTATCCCAGAGGGACCTCGAGGTGTGGAGAGGCAAAGCCGGGGCTGGTTCAAGGCTCTTAGGCAGTTTGGTTATTATGGTGCCCATGTACATGGTGATGGCCTCGTCTGCTTGCCCTCTGCAGCCTCCCTTTCTTTAATGCCCGGGAAACTGTAGCTCAGGCCTGTGTCACACAGATGTGGGACTGGCCAGCATTTCTGAGAATTCCTGAACCCTCAGAATTTTGAGAATGCTGAGAATTCCTGGCTGGCCAGCAGTCGCGTCTGGTCTCCATCTCTGCTCGCTCATGGGTCCCCCTCTCATCTTCTGTCCTGCGGTGGCCACCCTGTCACTGGGGACTCTTCTGCTCAGCTCAATCCCACCATTGCCCCACGAGGCCTTGGGGGCACGGCGCCCTGGGAGTCCTGTGAAGAGACTGCAGCCTCATGGGCTCGGGGTCTGGCTAGATCCGGGGAAACACATCGTTTTCTCCCTGGGCTGTGGGATTCTAGGTCTGGAATTAGCCTTTTGACAAACTAGTCCATCCTTCCCCAGGAATCCCACTGTCAGTTAGGCACATCGTGTTTCCACCGTTTTCCAAGACATTCATATTATTAGGTGTGGTGGGCAGAATAATGGCTCCCAAAGATGTCCACATCCCGATCCCTGGAACCTGTGACTCTTGTGCAGGTGGGAGCACAGGCTGTGGAATGGTGGTTTGTGGTTAACACTGGGCAACTGCAGCCTGGGGTGTGGAGCACCACGAGTCACTGTCAATCCCATCTCTTGGACATCTACCTCTGCCCCAGGATGCTTCCCTGGCCCTGCCCCTTTCCTCCAGGCCCCTCCACTGCGTTGCTGGGGGACTGGTCTTCAGTCTCTCTAGCAAGCCCTGCCTCCAGTCTTCTCTGCTGGAGCCCCAGGACGCCTGCCCCATTTCTTTCAGGAGACCACTGGTACCTGAACCTTTGCATTACTTTTTTAGGCAGAGCAATTTCACTCTGTCTTAACCTCTCCCATGGAGAATGTCGATGGACCTTTACCTTTCATAGCTAAAAGGTTCATTTACAATTTTTCCTAAATTGAAAAAATCCACAGCTGAAATTAATTCATCCACTTTCCTAAAATGAATAAGCAGATGTAATCAGTTTTAGTATTTTTAAAAAATTGCTTCCCCCGCCCCCATCATGCAAGCTGTAAGCTTTCCCAAAGCCAAAGCAATTTGGCACAAGCATATGCAGGTTAAGAAAACAAAAACCACAGCCTCCTCCCACAGAAGGTTTTTCACAATGACTGCCCAGGGTAGTCTTTCCATCGCCATGACAACCTCAGTCCCAACTGCATGACCAGCACTGGGCATGTGGTAGGGAGTGAGCCTGCCCATGAAACCTTCGCCCTCAGTTTGGGAATATTTGCTGCTGGCAGTCTTATCGGTCTCATCGGCGACCTTGTCCTCTCCTAGTGGTCCCGGGGTGTCCTTCCGGTTGCAGTACTCACCCTGGCACTGGAGAAATTTCCAGATACATTCAAGGGATCCTTTTTATTGAACTGGATTTTACCATTGGGATCTATGTGTCATCTCCAGTGCCCAGCCATAGAAAAATTGAATGGTAAAGTTATAGAAATCCTGCATAGGGGCTTGGCTAAACTCTAGGGTAAGGGATTCCACATCACCAGGGATTTTAATTGCAGGTGGAGTCAGGAAGGGTGCAAGAGGATGAGAAGGTCAGTGTCTCAGGAGGACACATCTGAACAGACGCTTTACCGAAGAAGAGCTACAGAAGATCTACAAAAAAGCAAGCAACAGGACACACAATATCATGAGCAGTAGGGGGATGTCAATCTGCTGGTGGGAATGCAAACTAGTTCAACCACTATGGAAAACAGTGAGGAGATTCCTTAAAGAACTAAATGTAGATCCACCATTTGATCCAGCAATCCCACTACTGGGTATCTACCCGTGGGAAAAGAAGTCATTCTGTGAAAAAGACACCTGCACATGCATGTTTATAGCAGCACAATTCGCAATTGCAAACATAGGGAACCAACCTAAGTGTCCATCAATCAATAAGTGGATAAAGAAAATGTGGTATATACACACCAATATATACACTATGGGTACTACTCAGCCATGAAACAGAAGGTAATAAAGGCCTTTGCAGCAAGTTGGATGGAGCTGGGGGCCATTATTCTGAGTGAATTAACTCAGGAATGGGAAACCAAATATCATATGTTCTCACTCCTAAGTGGGAGCTAAGCTATGGAGATGCAAAGGCATAAGAATGAAATAATGGACCTTGGGGACTAGGGAGGAAGGTTGGGAGGGGAGTGAGGGATAAAAGACTGCATATTGGGTCCACTGTACACTGCTCAGGTGACAGGTGCACCAAAATCTCGGAAGTCACCATTAAAGCACTTATTCATGTAACCAAAAACCAGCTGTACCCAAAAACCATTTAAATAAAAAAAATGATGAGATGCCATTAGCATCTAATAGAATGGACAAAATTAAAAATATCGGCTGGACACTGTGGCTCACACCTGTAATCCCAGCACTTTGTGGGGCTGAGGTGGGTGGATCACGAGGTCAGGAGATCAAGACCATCCTAGCTAACACAGTGAAACCTTGTCTCTACTGAAAATCCAAAAATTTAGCCAGGCACGGTGGCGGGTGCCTGTAATCCAGCTACTTGGGAGGCTGAGGCAGGAGAATGGTGTGAACCCGGGAGGCAGAGGTTGCAGTGAGCCGAGATCATGCCATTGCACTCCAGCCTGGGCAGCAGAGTGAAGATCTGTCTGAAAACCAACAAACAACAACAACTCTCTCTCTCTTCTCTCTCTCTCTCTCTGCTCTCTCTCTCTATAGTCTATACTATATATATAATATATATATATCATATGTAGCCAGATAGATCTACAATACCAAGTGTTGGTGAGGATGTGGCAACGAGGATGCTTATTTATTGCAGCTGAGAATGCAAAAGTGTCTGGCTTCTCTGGAAAGCCACTTGGCAGTGTTGTAAAAAATTATACATACAGTTACTTTATCCCCCAGCACTCTGACTCTTTGGTATTACCCTAAAGAAATAAAATTGATATTCATATAGAATTGTCCATGAGTGTTTGAAGCAGTATGTGGAGGCGACGCACCTCCCTCTTGGATGCAGATCTAGCTTGTGATTCACCGCAGTCCCGGGAATGCCTCTAAGGTTTCTATTTCATCAACTGTTCCTTGTGGAGGAGCATGCACTTACCTTAAATCCTGCCCTTAGGTCAAAACAATCTTGACCATTAATCCTGCCCTTAGGCAGATTCACATGATATTCTTGCCTTTCCCCAAGGGGTCAACTCCAGGTATCCACTGCATTCCTTTCCTATGGTCTATAAGCCCTGTGTCCAGGAGGTCACGGCGCAGGGATCCACCATCTCTTCTCAACGCCACCCGAAACACAGATGTGACTTGTGTTCATGAGCCCCTAGTAAAGGTTTCTTTCTGAGAAACTGGGTTTGTCAGCCTCTTTGGCCTCTCAGCTTCCTCCGACTTGGGGGTTCATTAGCATAGGCCTGCCCACTGCAGAACACAGTCCTCTTCATAATCACAAACACCCCGTTATGCTTCAGTGAGTGACTGGATAAGCGGACCGTGGCAGATCCACAGGATGGAGTACTGCTCAGCAAGAGAGAGGATTGTGTGTTGATACACACGCCACCATGAATTGAATTCTAAGTGCATTAAGGTACATGAGAGAATGTCCACAGGATGGAATACTGCTCAGCAAGAGAGAGGATTGTGTGTTGATACACACGCCACCACGAATTGAATTCTAAGTGCATTACGGTACATGAGAGAATGTCCACAGGATGGAATACTACTCAGCAAGAGAGAGGATTGTGTGTTGATACACACGCCACCACGAATTGAATTCTAAGTGCATTACGGTACATGAGAGAATGCAGCCACAAAGGGCTGCCCTACTGCATCAGCCCATTGATGTGACATTCTTGAAAAAGCCCAACGGTAGGAACACAGAATAAATCCACGGCTGCTGCAGATTGAGGTGGGGAGAGCACAGGAGAGTTGGAACAGTTCTGCACGCGGACTGTGGGGTGGACGCAGGAAGCTGTGCATGTGGAAAAACTCACTGAATTGTAAACCAAAGAAGTGAATTGTACCGCATGTAAATTTTCAAAAATTAAAAACTAGAGGACAAAGGGAAAGAATGTTTCTTATGACTGGTTGTGCTTCAACTTATTGCATTTAAGCAGAGTGACCAGTACAGACCTCGGAGCCTCGGCATGAGCCTCCTGGAAGCAGAGTGACCCGTACAGACCTCCGAGCCTTGGAAGCAGAGTGACCAGTACAGATCTCTGAGCCCTGGCATGAGCCTCCTGGTATGCTGGGCTGTAGCCTTCCTGCTCTGTTGTTTTGTTGACTATGAGAGTGTTCAGAAGTTTACAGCTGCTGAGGAGTTACCATCTCGGCTAAAGGTAGAGCAGGCAGACATGTTTGTACAGGATCCAGGTGTGAGGGTTAAGAGGAAGCCTTTGGTGTAGAGCTTGTGGGGTGAGGAAAACAGACTAAAGCAGAGGTGCACCCAGGCAGACTCCCCTGGCAATGTGGCTGACTTTCTACAGCTTGGGAGCCATGGCTGCAAAATGTCCCTAGAAAACAACAACAAAAAGTTAAAGATATAAATACAATTATGATTCATTAGAACCAGACCACGAAGAATACAAAACTAACTGGACTGTGTTTTTCTCTTTATTTTCCACTGCCATCTACTTGGAGGGCAGAAGGAGGTAAGAGTTCCGTGCATTGTTACGATTTCAGCTGTAAGTCCCAGAAACCCTCACTTAACAACCTAAATCAAAATGGAAAATTCTGGAGATTCCAGGCTGGCAGATCTAGTGATCGGTTATGTGTGTGAGAACAAAGCTCTCTCACCTTTCTTCTCTGTCGTCCTCCTGGCTTTGCTTCTCAGATCTCACCCTCATGGTCACAAAGTGGCTGCTATTGCACGGAGCGTCTTATCCGTAGACAACTTTGCCCCAAGGCAGAAAGAAAGAAGAGTGTTGCGCCTCCCTTTATGGTACAGAAAAATCTCCAGGAGTCC